CCCCCCAAACAATCGAGCAACCCAATATCCCTTCCGAAGCTGCACTGACCAGTTCCCGAACCATTCATACATTTCCGTCGCCCAAGTAACAGATCTCAACGCAAGCGCCCTCTTTCCAATCACCGCTACTGCACTCACTTCTACCTGTTCGGCTGGCTCAACACCACACACTGAGTCGGAGCCTTGCCCTACCGATGACTGTAATGGTGACGACTCGACCCAACATCCAAGCCTAGAACGCGAACGCGAACACGACAATTCTTCCAGCACCCTCAATCGTTCCTTTCACACATGGTCCTCCCAGTTCCCACGACACCCGCTTGTCTATTAGAAGCATTCGATCCCCGTTGGCGCAGACCGCGCGGTTGCGGCACCCAGTGTGAGCCCGGGACAACATGGCTGCATTCGTCAGAGTCTCGGGGCCGCCAAACAGCAATTTTCTCGTGGGATACCCAGGGATATCGGCTACCTTGGTAAGGCCTCTCTCAAGTCTTTGTTTATGCTCGAGTATTTGGGTAGTTTCCCCGCGAACCGTTTTGCGCTAACACGGGACGTTTGACTTGGACCAGCCGAGGATAGAAGGCAAGGTAGAAATCAGACCGCTCACAGGCATTTCAGCCCCCGTTGCCATCTCGTTGGTACGGATATGTTTGCAGCGTAGGGAAACCATACATCCGTCTGCCGAATCGATCGCAAAGAAACATCTGGGCACGCCGAGGAGGGAGACGACGGATGTAGTGGGGAAGGAGCTGCTCTTGTTTAGATGTCCGGCGGGGAGGGAATCGGAAAGTGTCGTGTTGATGGATTTACCTTTCGTATTGTTTATACCCTTTGGACGCGGAGGGGAGGAGACCAATCGAAGAATTCCACCCGCCTCATTACAGCTACCCAGTCGAACGGCGGAAACATATTACGAGCTGGTAGTAACCGTCCAGCAAGGGCAGGATCAGAAGAAATTCGCTTTTCCGGTGCCAATACAGAGATATGATACATTATCAACTTTTGGCATGTACAATCGACCAGAAGCTGCAGAACAGACGGCCGATCATCTGGTTACGTTGGCTATCTCTTTACCGCGGTGGTCGTATGGTCCTCTAGATCCAGTGAGCGTTTATATCAAGCTCTCGCCTAATCCGGATTGGCTGAGTAAAGCGAAGAAGGTCATGATTCAGAAAATCACAATCGGAATAGAGGAAGAAATCACATATAACCCCGAGGGAGACGAGCCTACGAAAAAGGTTAATCGAATAGCGAAACATACGCAGAATGTAGGTGTCAGATTACCAGAAGCGGGATACTTGACAAATTTGGGACTGGTCTTTCCCTCGAAGGAGTTACGGGATGCCGAGGGAATTATTAGGAGAGGGAAAGCTGCGTTTCCATTGTATGGTGTAAACTCTTTTACGACGACTGGGACTCTTTATAAGATTGAGTTTTTCTTGATTATCAAGGTATTTATTTATTCACTTTGTTTTGCTTGATAATTACTAATTGCTAATGTTGAAATAGGCACACATGTCCTCAGCAAGAGACATCGTATTGAGACAGCCGATTGTCGTCTGTCCTATTGATCAACAGGATTGTAAAGAGGAAATGGATGCTATTGAACAAGCCGCCAAGGATGCTTCTCATGTGGATCCGCATAATCCTATGTTACCCGCTTGCACCATTATCAAAGCAAATGACAAGGATGCGCTCAAAGCCCTTGGGTGGACAATGGTTGGTGGGCAGAGGAAGATGGTTATTGAATGAGGCTCTCGAATATGTGAGGGAATCTAGTCATACATTATTGGTGGAGACCATCTACCATTCAGATCCTATCATTTGGGAGAAGGGGATATGAAGCAAGCTGTTTATGGTGAATTTCGATCATTCGGAACCGTCGGATCTCTCATCTGCCAAACTTTCTGGGATGATTGGATGGATACCCTGGAGCTATCAACACTATTGTTTTGCGACGGGGTCGACTGAGGAAAAGACACATCGGGCACATCAAGAAGAGGCTTTGGACTTTTTACGATGCGGGCGGGATACCACAGCAAATGGACTATGTGGTATTGACCAATCTGGCAGGTCTTGTCTGGCGTTTTCCGGATTTCAGGGGAAACTTTACTCGGGGAGTGGAGCGAATACCAAATGCCTTTTTTTCACGACCTGCTTCACGCGAACCCCCCGCATTTTTTTCTTGACTGCATTTTCAATGGCGTTCTGGGGGGAGGGGAATGGGAGGGGGAACTTGATCTCTGGATTTAAAATCTGCTGATATATGGATGAGGGATGGTGATTACGACTCGTCTCATTCCGGGATTTGTGACGTGTATGTGATCTGATTGATGGGATTTGGTTAGGAGAACTTGAAGGAGAGGAGAGAGGAAGGATTTGTGGGTTTTGTATGAGTGAATTGGGTCTTGGCTGGATGGGATTTGGTCGTATCTATTGAACCAAATGACTTGGCTTGGCTGGAAGGAAGAAATGGGATTGATGATTTAGATGTTGATGATGATTGATTTGAGGTAGCATAGGATAGGATAGGATAGGATAGGATAGGATAGGATGGGCAAGGCAAGGCAAGGCAAGGAATGAAGGAGATGCAGAATATAATGAATATTTGAAATGAATCTGTGAGTATGTGAGTTGTTTATGTTTCTTTTTTTTCTTTTTTGGCCCCCCCCAAGGCCTAAGAGATTTATCTCTCTTTGGTTTAGAATGATCTAAGCTTTTATCGTGCACTGTCATCGTGTAGCTTAATCTACAGTACAGTAGGATATTGAAACTGAATTCACCAATTACAGGGTGTTGACTTCGTGAGGGGTGAGAATGGGTCTGGTCTGGTGAGGTGAAGGAGGTGAGGTGAGTGAGTCGTATTTGGGGGCCTTCGCTCGCTTAGGAGTGTCCACATTATTTTTTCAGTCTGCCAGAATGACTAACTACCTATATAGAATAAATTTGTTTTCTTATAGGTTGGTACTTGAAGGGGCTATAATAAACACCCTCCCACATCACTCCCAAGATCGATCTTTATTGTCTCGTATCTTCCAACCAGAATCCGTCATCCTTTTCAAACCGGACGATCATCTCCGGGATTGCTGCCTGCGTGTCCCATACATGTCAGCAACCAAACTTAGCTTTGCTCGCTTACGATCGGCTTATCACCACCATGCTGCACTGAAAACGTACGAGCAGATTTCGCTTAGTAGAGAATAGGGAAAAGAGAAAAAGAAAAAGGAGATTTGGGGAAGGAATCTGGAAGACTTACATCCTTCTTAAAATAAACCTTCATATCTATCCCCGCCCTCGCATAACACTCCTCATACACCCTCCTCATCCACATCCTCTTGCTATTCCTCCCCTCCTCCCGCACCCTCGCCTCCTCCTCCTCCTCCCCCTCCCGTCGTGCACCCATCCAACACACCCCATCCGCACCCGCACCCGCACCAACAAGTTCCCAATCCAAAAACCGCCCCCCAACACACACCGTCCCCAGGACACTCGCGTAATCATACCGATATCTTATACCGCCAATTTCACGCCCCGCTTCCTCACGACTCATCCCGTATTTGCGTGTGCAATACGCGGTCTTGCGAAGGGCTGCGGGGTCCTTCAGGGAGATTTGTTCCCAGCATGCTGTTGCGTGGATGTTTTCTTGTGAGGGGGGAGCGAGGTGGCTGGTGAGGTGGCCTAGGGTGTGGGCGAGGAGGGGGGAGAGGAGAATGGTGGTTAGGAGGTGGTGTTTGCGAGTGAGGCGTGATGGGAGGAAGTAGTGGGTTATGAGAGAGAGGATGAGGAACAGGGGGGTGTTGAGGAGGAGTTGGATGATGAAGGTGGTGTAGAACATGTATAGTCTGGGGATGTCGGTTGTGATGTTGTGGAAGACGGATTGGGTGAAGAGGAGGCCGAAGAGGGTTGTGATGGTGTGGGTTAGGAGGACGAGGGTTGCTGTTTTGGAGACCATTATTGGGGGTGATGGGTCCCCTTTTTGTGAGGTGTGAGGAGATGGAGGAGAAAGGGGGAGTCTGAGGTGGGTTTGGGTTGTCTTTTATGTTGCTGAGTGCGGATTGGAGGATTCGATAAGTCGAAAGTTTTGTCAGGATCAATGATACCCTGTAGGCTGACTAGAATCCTGAGAAGAATACGAAGATATTTGTGCAGCGGATCGAAAATTGGATTCCATAATGAGAGCAAGATGATGAAGAATTGGGATTCAGTTGTTGTTTGGAATACTTGCTAACCTATCGAAAGTGCGTTAGCGAGACAAGGTTATGGAGCTTGTGGGGAAATATGTAGCACAGCTTATTCTAGATATATACAAACCCATCTTTCACCTCTCTATCGAATGTTCTATCCCATCTGTAAATTCTCACGCTTTGTAATTTCAAAACTCAGATCTTGCTAGCCTCTCTCACGTCCAAGAATCCCTCCGCAACAGCTTTGAGCAATTGATGCGCAATAGCGGTCGCAGGAGGTAGTCTCAAATTCCCTTCCACATACCCCTTCCCAGCCGGTTCATCAAGCCCACTCACACCCACCCTCAATGCCTCTCTAACATCCTCCATATCAAACCACTTCGCATCCTCCAACTCGGGATCATACTCCAGATGAATCTTCTCTCCATCCGGTAATGCTTGGCCAATAGCACCGATCATGAGATTGGCGGGGTAGGGCCAAGGCTGGGTTGAATGGATGACGACTCGTCCTAGATGGACACCGGATTCTTCCCAGACTTCGCGACGAACCGCTTCCTCGACGGACTCCGCGGGCTCGCAGAACCCGGCGAGCGTGGAGTACCAATGTGGTGGGAAACGTTTTTGGCGGCCCAGGAGCACTCGCTTTGCGTCGTGTGATACTACGGCCATGATGACGGTGGGATCTGTTCGCGGGAATGAGAGGTTGGATATTCCTTTGCGGGTGACGCAGGCTGCTCGCTGACGGGGTTCGGAGAGGACGGTTGTTGCCCCTCCTTGTGGTGTTGGGAGAGATGCAAAGTCGGTTGGGGGACATACTCTTTTCGTTCCCGCATTTATGGAAATTGTAGGCTGTCCGCAACCACCACAGAACGGATTTCGGGCGTTCCAATCGAGGAGTGATCGAGCGTGGGCATAAATTGCAGCTATATAAAGTTAATACTCCATTTGTACCAAGCGATTGAAATAAAAGCCATACCTTCAGGAGCACTTAACCCCATAAACACCCTCCCTTCCGCAAACGACAATCCCTTCCCCTTCATACTCTCAACCAACTTCCTCGCCTCCCCCTCCACCGTCCCCCTAGGCGTAACATCAACCGCAAAATACGGCGTCCCCTTATAAATCCCATGTTCAAACCCCCCCTTCTTCTCTTCATCCAAACCGAGGAACAGAACCAGAGGCAACGTAACACTACTATTATAACCCTTCACAATTTCTTCTTCCGTCTTCTCAAAGGGGTTTCCCCCAATGAACTTGCTGACATCCTCGTGCTTTACATACGCCAACTTATTCGTGTTCACAGATAAGGGCGCGAGGTCGTTGAACAGGAGGAACGAGGTAGATGAGTGCGTTAGGGCACTGGAGATGAAGCTGTGGTCGGTACGCAGGAAGGAGACTCGGTTCAGTGGGGAGCCGGAGAAGTAGTTTGCGATTTCGCGACCGAATTTTCGGGTTAGCATTGAGTCTATGTCGTGGTGTGCGGGGTTGGGGAGATCCGGGGTAGGCATTGTTGCGCGGGAGCTGGAACTTTGGGGTTGGTGGTGAAACCTGGGGTTTAGATTTGAAGCCAGATGTTCATTAAGTCATAGAGTTTAGGAGGGGGAGGAGAATTATGGGGATTGAGCGGAGGGAAAGGAAAGGCTGGATTTTGATTCCTTTAGTATGGTACATGTGCTGGCTCGCTGGCTATGTAATGGTGGGGTCTATTACTATTCCGTCGTCATCGGCCGAGGGTCGGATTTCTCAGCACGGTAAGAGCTTATCGCCGAAGATTTTTTGTATATGGAATTTTACTCTGATCAAAATAAATGGGAAACATTGAAATCTAGTTGAAGCAAATGATGGAAGGTAGATCGTGTCGCTTGTTTGATGCGGGAGTAGGTCGTAATAAAAGAGACAGGAATAGACCAGGAAATGCACGACAAATGGTGTAGACTCCAAGGGAAAGAGACTTCGCTAAAGAGAAAGGAAACGAATACCATTAGAAATTCGCTTAAATATATTAGATGGTGTCAAGTATTGATGGGGCCAGAGTGTGCAGAGTAAGATCACTCTCTCTATTCGATGACTCGAGCTTTTTTGTAGGGTGTTGAAGGCGAAAATACCAGACTCTACTTTAAGACTTCCGTCACGATTTCTTGCACACTTCATGGGTGAGGTATTCAAATACAGAGGGTCGATTTAAGGAGGGGAAAAAATATCCATGTGGACAAAAAAAGATGTCACGTGAACTACCACGTGTGTGCGCTGGTTCCTGAAAGGGCGGATTGTGCTCGCTCGCTTAATCTCGGGTACAGGCGCGCGGGTTAAACTCGAGCTCCCCAACGTACTATGTAGGAAGCTTTACATACCCTATAAACACTTATATTCTAGCTCATAAAAGCTTAAGTAAATTATTATTATTATCCTATCGTGCCTACCTCCAATCGTCATGTCATCAAGACAGCTTCGTGTGGCTTTTCAAAACACTCTAACCGAGCGCCGGTTTCTCACTCTTCACCTCTTGACCAGAGACCGCGACATTCTCCTCATCACTCAATGTTCTACCGATAAACTTACTCTCCTTCAAGTTGTTAAGTTTATCTTCCTCTCTATCCGCCTTTCTGAAAGTCATGTAGAATCCAATACCACCAAGGAATGCCAATACAGCAACGGATCCATAATTCCAAACCAAGAGAGGATCCTCAGAGAGAGCAGTGAGGGCTTGACCAAGAGCACTGGAGATGGCGGATGTGAAGAGAGCGATGGCTTGAATGGTGGAACGCATGTTCTTTGGTGCTTTGGTGTAGGCGTACTCGAGTTTGGTGATGGAGGCCATGACTTCGGACATTCCGATGAGACCGTAAGGGACGACTTGGATCCAGACGGTGAATGGAGCGGCGCAATCTTTCCTGGTTTTCGCCAAGGCGTTGATATTGTCACCACATGGTGAGAGCTTGTAGATGTAGTACTGTGTTACGCATGCTGAAATCATGGCTGCAGAACTCAAAATGAAACCAGAGGTGATCTTCTTGATTGGGGAAAGGTTGACTCCCATCTTTCTAAGTGCAGGGTAGATTCCGAAGTCCATGATGGGGATGACGATGATGATGAAAATTGGGTTCAACTTGGAAACGATATCGTTGGGTACATTTCCTAGCTGCATGGTGGAGGCTTGGGATACGAGGTTACCGGTCATCTGGTTATAGGCGAGCCAATATACGGGATACCTATGATTAAAAATTAATTTCGTTCAAAGACAAGTTGAGAAACCATTTATAAGCATACCAGAGGAAGACTTTGCAAGCGAGGACTCCACGACGGACTTCATCAACCCACTCGTCGTCAAAGGTCATCCAGGCAGGTACGACTTCACCCCGAGCGCGGATTTCACTAGGCTTGACTCTGTCCCAGAAATTTGGATCTCTGAGGTTTCCCTTACTATATGGAGTCAGTTGCTGTACTCATGAAATCTTCGAATATGGGGAGGGGTAAAGTGGGGTGAACTTACGTAGTGTTTAGATTCCATGACCATCTTCCCTTAAAGGCAAGACGGACCAATTTCCCTGCCTTGGCCATGACACTTCCAGTTGGAGGTGACAAGACGTAGGATTTCTTGAAATACCAAAGAACGAGGGGGCAAATGAGGTAAACAATTGTTGGTAGTAAGAAAGAAAGCCAGAATCCGACATAATGTTCCGAGTAGACCATGGCCAAAGAACCGCAAAGGGATCCAAGGTTGATCAGGAAGTAAAAGTAGATGTAAATACGTGCGGTAGTCACAGCTGGGTCAACAATCTCTTTGAGACCTTTCTTGTTGACGCGAACATATGGTTTCTCATCCTTGTACTGTTCGGCGATCAAGGGCGAAATGTTGGATTTGAAACCACCAGTACCGATGCCCATGATGATGAGTCCCACGGAGAAGACACCGATAGCTGCATTTGGCCGGACAATAACAGGTGGGATTGCAGCAATGATGAGGATGATGTGGCCGATAATCGAGAATAAGTTTGCATATTGGATAGTGAGATATCGTCCCCAATATTGATCAGCAAGGTAAGCACCGAAGAGTGGTGTGAAGTAGGACCAGAAAGAGTTAACTGAAACTGTTAGTCAACTTCTCGATTTTTGGGAGAACCCTCAACCTACAGGTCACCAAACCAGTCGAGGCACGTTGACCAAGACCAAGAGCACCAGATCCGGGGGAACGGAGAAAACCTGCACCAGTCTTCGATCCAGCTAGTACACATACATTAGAATGAATTAATGTAGGGGATTAGGGAGAATTACGTGGCAAATCTTTCTGGATGAAATTAACAAAGACTGCGGTCGTTCCATAGTAGGAAAACCGCTCAGCAAACTCGACAAAGGCTACAGTCCATGCCGTCCATGGAATTCGGCCTGGAACTCGAGGAAGGGTAGCGAACTCCTCTTCAGTTGGGAATGGTCCCAAGAGATTTTGAGAGTCAGATATCGAGTTCTCTTCACTGGCTGAAACTGAAACAGGCTCAACCATAGAGGCACCTTTGGTAACCTCGATACTGTTTTTGACGTCCATCTCGATACTCGATTTAGAGGTTGAGTGTGAGATGGCCGACGCGGGGGAGGGAGCTATTGATATAGATTGCTACACAAACCAAGGCCAAGACACTGGAACCGACTATATGCATGCTTCACCACATGGACTGACTGGATAGATAGAATACCGATATTGTTTGGTGCGACAATACCCGCAGCAGCACTTGCATGTTGTAAACTCACTCGCTTCCACCTTGAAGAGGAAAGTATAAGCAGGCTTGGTATGTGCCGAGCCTTAAAATCATGGGACCAAAAGTCAGATAGAGAGGACCTCGAAAGATAATGACAAGGTCTACGGTACGATATATTCCATGAATGGACCTACGGAGAATAAAATTTTCAAGTTGGAAGAAGCTTCATATCAGCGCCAAGAAGTTACGATAACGGCTTCTCGTAGGTTTGGAGGCCCCAACCTTCGACCAGCCTTCGATACAGTAGCTTTTAACGGCGCAGTAAGCCCATTTCGAGTTTTATACCAATCGTTTCGATGTTGTTGTCACCAGAAGACTTCCACCTTCCTATCTAGATAGCGAGCCAAGGGTTGGCCAAGGTCACCAAGGGCTTGGGTTATTCCCATCACCAACACAAAATACCCCAGTTACCGGGGCCTGGTGCGGAGGTATTGTGGGTCCCCGCCTTGGGACTTTTCCGCGTTGAACCTACTCCGCTTCGTAGTACCGAGGGAATTTGGTGGTACAAGAACTAACACAATCTCTGTTATCTGCTTTCCTTTCAAATGTGATCTGCCGACTAGAGTTGTCGGAAGGACCTCGCGTTGGTACCGGAGGGTTAAGAATTGATAGTGAAATACGTTACCAGAGTTCCTCACAAATATGTATATTTTACAGAAAATAAGTTGAGTCAGATAAGGCTAAGATGGGGTCGGCCCTTTTGGTTACAAAAATAGTAGAATCGTCATAAGATGTTCATTTTTAATTACTATTTACACTTCACGAAACACCGTCAGTTGCCGATTTTTTAGAATATACGACTTTTGACCCGACTGACGGCACTGAGACAGTTCAGCTGAACCTTACTTAAGTAATTGTCTGCTGTGGTATGTCATGTGACCACATTTAGCGAATGGATAGGGGGAGAGTCGTTCCCCCACAATGTATTGTGTCTCATAACACGGGAACACGTTCATGCTCATAGGACTTTCTGCGATGGAATCTTCAGTTTCAAAAGATATTGTATTGACTTCAGTATTAGATGGAACAAGAGGAATCCTGTATTCACTAGCAATATCCTCCGAAGTTGTTCTTAATCCTTCGATTTTGAAACACCGTTTTGTGTCTAGCTTTATCTTTGGAAGACACTTAAAAATCCTATCCCACTCCACGAAAATCTCTCTTCCCTATGACTCATGGAAACTCCCATGACTTTCGTGATAATCTTCAAAGGATCCTGAACAGCAAAGCCTTTATTTATGAACTGGGCTACTACTACGCGTACACCACAAGTGCTCATTCCCCAATGATGATTTTCATCCTCTAACAGCGAAAGAAAGAACTACTCGACTACTTAAGTATATCCGGGCTATACTTAATTAGGTTAGAGTAGGCTTGAGTAGGTGGTTTAGTTGAGTAGGTTAGAGTAGTGGATTCGACTACTTGAGTAATACTTAAGTAGTTTTACTATAAGTAGTAACTAAAGTACAAATAGCTAGTACTTGTAAATATCTTCTCGCTAAAATAGATTAAATAGTATAGCTACCGCTATCTGCCTTCTACTAGTTTAAAGGAAGAGGCTATAGAACTAATTAGCAAAGAGTTTAATATATATAAAGCTTATATAAACTTACTGTTCGAGGAACTCGCTTATATAGTCGGCTAAGTCCGAGTAGGTGGACCGACAAGCCGGAACCTCTGGGCGCGCTACAGAGCCTCGGTCCGAGTTACTCCGTACTACTCAAGTAGTACTCTAACCTACTCAACTCTTGGCGAGTAGGTTAGAGTAGGGCTAAATCCTACTCAAGTAGGGTTGAGTAGGTGCTCCTACTCGACTCTACTCTACTAATATTTTTCGCTGTCCTCTAATACTCTTGACTCAACGATGAACTACAAATACTAGATGCTCTAACCAATTTGCATTACTGGCTTTAGCTTTAATATACAGACCTCACTAGTTAGAAGCTCGGTTAAATTGTTACGAGAGGCGTACGCAAAGCAATAATTGGGTATCTTACACCATTATATTATGCCATCCTTCCTCGGGATTTTTGCATGCACAAGTACGTGCCATTTGTGTCACGGAATTGTCTTTTGGATAGGTAATATTGTAACTCATGTCATGCTCGCAGTAGGGTTTGGGGTAAAGCCATATTAGATTATTAGACCATGGATACTTGGCACAAGTGCTGTACCCTAAATGGCTCTGGCAGATACCAAATAAATATACAAAGCACAAAAATTGTTTTCATGACACCAACACTTTTCTGAGTACAACCATAGTGCGAGAGTCTAATAGAGGGAGCACATTTTCAATTACACTATGCGAAACTATTTTGTAGCCACTCATTGCACAACCAAGGTCAGCCCAAACCAAAATACCCATATCATGACGCCGAACCTAAATTTTCCTGCCCAGATTCTTTTTCAGAATCTCCCATAGTATCTATGTGCTTTACAGTATGTGTCTGATCTTCATGTTGAACCACAAAAGCACCCTGAAAACGGCCTGAAAACAAACTCTTAAACCCCAAATTTTCTGCGTTCCATGTTCATGGATGGAACTACCAGTTCAACAATCACCCACATGAACGGGGACATTATCTAGGAAAACACAATCAAGTCAGCGAAGTTTTGTTTGACATGTAAGAAGTTCAACTTCAGGATGCGGGAGGCTCTAAGTCACAGAAGGAGGGGACGATTGAGAATACTTACAGCGATCACTATCAAACCGCTGACCACAAACCATATTTCCCTGGCGACACTCTTGGATGATATCAAAAGCGTACGAGGCAATGTAGTCACACTTTGGTGTGATTCGATAATCGTTATCATTGCACAACCAGATTCCATCTTCTCGATCACAGCTAATCCGCGCGCAGGAATGGCCATCCACGCCACAGAGGTCACGAGTCCTAAGGTAATTGATACCCTCTAGAACACCGCGCTTTCTGGCAAATTTCCATGAAGCCTGGCCCGTCATAGGATTGCAGAGGAGGTCATTCTAAAATTGTCAGTTCTACTTATAAAAAGATCTTGGAGACTGCGTAGAGCGAACCTTATTCTTCACGTCACGCTCGACAAGCTCGTCCTGTGGCAATTTGGCAAGAGGATCAAAGTCTGGGAATAATTCCTTCATTTGCTTGAGTTGTTCTTGAACTGTGCCCTTGAGAGAGACTTCGTGGCCGCCCCTGTGTGGGTGTACTAGTATCTATCTCGCAATGAAGCAGATGATTGATTCCTAACATGTACCGGTATACTCCCATTCTGTCTCTGGGTATTGAAACCCCGCGGGAGTTGCCAGAACCTGTGAGGGAGTTAGCTCAAAGAAATATAGAGAGAGGTAGAGGTAGAGGCGGAAGTAATTGGATTGTTACTTACAGAAGTGAAAAGGGCCAGCAAGGCAAAGAGAAACTTTAGGAGAAACATGTTGTTTTTGAAACAAGATACAAGTAGAGATATCTTGTCAGTGTTTTGATAATTGTCTTAGGATGTTGTTCAAAATTCCTGGAGGCAGATTTGGTGGATGTCGAGGTCTGTGATTGAGATTGAGGATAGAACCTAAGGACCTAGGATACTTAAATAAATAACACCTCCACTTCATGCCCCTCTTATCCCTCAGACTCTTCTTACCCCTCATACCCCTCCTGCTCTACAATGGCTACGGAATTATAGCCCCTATAACTTTCTCGCATATATTTCAACTTTCACTGAACACGCACCCAAATTCCAGGGAAATAAACTCAAATTCACTTTATCTTCATGCTTTCTTTGTGTTTGCCCAGAGGAAATATGTTTACTAACCGCTTTGCCTCTCTATAGTTACTTTCAATTTACGTGATAGTTGTCGTCTTTCCTGAGGTGAATGTTGATTACATGTGTTTACCTCGTGGGCCCACGTGCAGGCGAGGGGTAGGAGAGGGGAACAGAAGTAGTAACACATGTTGTTATTCTGATGATTCACTATGAAGCTAAGTAGGAGTGAATTCCATATTTGCATGAACTAGAATGAACTGTCTCTTGTACACTTGAAAAGAGCGGCTTTAAAACGTGTACTGTACTCAAAGGGGCTATAAGTTGATGTGATAACTGTGTGAAATTAAGACTCAAATACTTGGAACTGTAACTCGGTTGTCGAAAGAGTTGTCTTTTATAGAATAGATGTCATAAAAATGGACAATTTTGCTTTATTTTGAGCGTATGTTATTTTGGGACCTACTAGGTCTATAAGGGATATCACCAATTAGGATGCGGTCCAGGTATACTATATTCATGACAGACTACGGATTTCCCTTCAAACCGTGCTTTTGTACAACCCAACAGTCTACCATCACAAAACCAACAAACTTCAAACCCCACTCCCCATCGCACAAAATTCATCTCCAACTCCCCAACTCCACCAAAACAAATTTCCACCTTCAAGAACCCAATTCGTCTAATTCAAATAGCGCAGAGTGAATAACTCACAACTCAACAACCCCACCACAAAAAGGGATTTAAGATAAGAGAAGAGGCCAGTAAAAGCCTCCAATTACAATCACCTCCTAGCCAACACCTAAAACCAATTTTCTTCTCATGTCTAACTCCCAAACCAACAGAAGCGACAGAACCGAAAGAATAGTAGGATATTAGCTTATTAGCAAGTACTGAGATTATTATAGTAAACACAACCACTATCTAATCCAGTACGATACCTGGTTATTACTCCGTATACTATCAGAAGTCTTCATGTCAAAAGCCCTGGTCTGACACAAGTAACTTAATCGTCGTATTTAACTTAGGTTAATAACAAGTAAGAAGTACGCTTATTCTAAAGTAATTAGATAATCGTTTTAGTTATACGAGGGTTTTAGAAGGATGTTATTCTAATTAGGTGTATTTAGAGTAATAACCGTATCTCTTATAATAACTAGTTAGTAAGTATACTATATACTCTTCTAACCCAAATATACGAGGTAGAAGTATATATGCCAAGGCGGGGAGGGTGGGAATATAAGGGATAACTAAGAATGAAAGAGAAAACTTGCAATGAATTAGATTCCTGACGTTAATAAATATAGTAGTTAGAGTTTGATTGTGTATCAAGGGTCATAACTTACGTCGTTATATAAATAAATACTAGCGCCTATACAACAGCTAATACAGATCCACAACTACCCTCCACAATCCAGAAATCTCGACATTCGAGGTATGGAATACTATACTCCATCACCCATCTTAGAATCCGCCTTTACAGATCCTAGCCCTTGAAGGAAAACAAAGAATGCCACTATACCTCTCACTTCATCAACCCAGACACCCCCAGAGCGAGAGTCAAAATAGTACGTTATAGAAGCCTTACTTAGCTTACCTAAATACACTTAACAATCTCCCCCTTAGTATTTCCCGCTATGATTTGAAATGGGAAATAACAGTGGGTCAAGTTACTATAAAGTCTTTTAACCTATATAAGTGAGTACGTGAACAGGATAATCTTGAGGAAGACTTAGTACCTTCCATGCTATATTAAGTAACACAAATTTTCCTCTACTCAGCATCCCTCAAATAACACTGCCATACATCCTTGAAGTCCATCTAAATAAAATTCCCAGACTAAAATATTACAATACATTAAAACCCCCATATCTCCCCAACCTCCCTTGCTCCTCCTCCCTTTCCATCAACCCCTCTTCCCAAGTTCCCTCCTCCCCCTTCACAATACCACCAACCTACCACCACCACAACCAAAATCCGTCCCAGCCTCCCCCCAAAATTCCTCCCTCCCTACCCACTCAAAAATCCAAAAAAAGAAACCAACAAACCTACTGAATCCCCAACTCTTTCCCTAACCCAGAGATTCCACGGTACCCACACACGAGCTCCCTACTTACTCTCCCCAATTACAGTACCCCACAACCTGCACCAAGGTACCATTTTTGAAAGGCTGCAGTACTCGTATACCCCCGATACCTTCCAATACCTATTATAGTGAAGCAAGTAAATCAAGTAAATCAAGTAAATATAGTAAATCTATCCAGAATAACATACTACCCCTCCCCTCCCCTCTACCCCACACCCAAGAGAGGCAGACATCAGAACCAGGGCGGCACCCCCAGTGGATAAACAGACTTACAGTATTACAGAGGGGTTTTCTCCTGACAAGTCCATTATAGAGATATTGATTAATATGCTGATGTGAGACACAACCCATTGATACATTATTCTACACTTTACTCAAGAGGGAGAGAAGAAAAGGAGAAAAGGGGTACTGTAATGGTGAAATCGTTTCGTTTTATGTATGATAATAAAAGCACTACAAAGCGGATTTCTATACTTACTACTATATCAAAAGAAACAACGTAAAAAGAAGAGAAGTGTGATGATTCATAAATTCGTGTACTGTTTCCCATATTTTCATTACTGTAAGCCACCCATACCATCCCATCCATACTCCGTTGCAAAATTACACCCAAATTCAATCTTCTCAATTCCAAAACCAACCCTTCTTTTTCTCGTTGACTTTTTCATCAACCCTCTCAGATCCATTCTCCTGCTCAGAATCTGTCGGCCTCGACTCAATATGTCTAGTAGTAGTACAAGTATCTCTTCCATCCGCGTATTTCTTCCATACCGTAACTGTCGTATCAACGGTGCCATCTTCATTTGTGTGCTGTTCCGTCTTTGTGCTCGAGGAAATGACCTTGTTAGGATCCTGAACTGGTGTCGGTCGAGTAACTACTGCTTGCTCTGGCAGATCATCGGCTTGTCGTTCTTCGGGAGTAGAGTCGGATTCCTTTGGAGCAGGAGGAAGGAAACCGACTCTCTCGAGCTCCTTCATCAAGTCTCTAATGTCCTTATTGCTGCTAGAACTAAGAGAATCTCTTAGGCTTTGTCTGCCTTCAGGTGTTGTAATATCTCGCATTTCTTTCATATGGTTCATAAGTTTTGAAAGTTCTCCATCTGAGAAGATAGTCTCAAAAAGGGCCTCAACCGCACCTGCAATACTCTCGGGTGAAGCAACAGTTTGGAGAAACCAATTGTACATGTCTTGCTCCGTTTCTGTGTCCTGCACGTCTGCATAGGATACGGTTTTTTGCACACTTGGAGGGGAGGTAGGGAAGGACCGGGGTATGCGGTACGCTATAGTTTTCGTTTCTTTCTGTTGCAAGAACCCACCTAGATAAAGGTCTCTGATAAAAGACTCTCCAGCGATTGTATGTTCGGCTCCGCGAAGGGAACGGAACGTGGGAGAAAGGTAGTGCCAGGGACTGCCATGTGTAGTTTTAATCAGATCCTCGAATGCCTGGCTGTAAGGAAACGTATCAGGCTTTTGGTGAGTTGGAATATCCTCCGCGTCGATGTCCAATTTTATGGGCGAATATGGCGAGAATAGAAGATATGGAAGCAACGAGTATCCGGATTGTAGGGTTGGGTTAACAGTCAATTGGTTGTATACGGAATACCTGATCCTGTTCATGGCATCCGAAGATACTTGCTCTCGCGTCAAGTTGAGCGGTCCGTTTTCAGGGGTGTATGCTTTGCCGGGGATACCTATTATAAGGTTGGAATATTTAAAAACAGGTTCGCGATCCCCGAGATACGGCAGATGTGCGAAGAGCGATTTCTCGACTGGGGAGTAGAGAGGCAGGTCTGCTTCCACTGATTCAGGAGCCCCATTCGGCTGTCTTGAATGAACCCAGGAGTGTCTTCCTTGCCACTTCTTCACTGGTATGTTTCCCTCTACCTCCTCTTCATGATGATTGTGCTGCGCATCCGCATCCTTCAATTGTCTCAGGCGCGTCTGGAGATCATCTCGCCGTCGAAGGTCGTCGTCAAAATCTGCCCATCTTGCATTTGCTGAGTTCTTGGAGAAGGCTGAGGGCAAGCCTATCAAGCCTTGTAGAAACGAACCGACTTGGGCATCTGCGAACTGGCGGAACTTGATGAATGGGTTTGGATTGGATTGGGAAGGGTCGTGGTTTAGTCTGGAGTCATTATGGCGGTCTGGGTCCGATGCCATGATGCACCTTACAGGTCGAGTTCGATCTGCGCTGTGATACCGTACAGATGCAATGCTGGTGTGGATGTGGATGTAGATGGGGATGGGGATGGTGTTGGTGTTTGTTGAAGGCGTTGAAGTGAGAGTGGCGCGCAAGAGCTCAGTGGCAAGGGAGTGTCTCAGGTACGTCCCTCCTTCCCCACCTAAACGCGGGGGAGGAGCTTACAGGAGCTCACAGGACAGGGTCCACTCCACTGCCGTGTTTCTGTAAGGAGCACCAGGGAGGAGCAATAGAGAGCACCAGGAGCGAGTGGCTACCCATATTACGGAGTACCTGTCAATATCGGATTGACCTGATACTGCAATTACTGCAGCTATCACCATATTATACTGGTCCCCATTCCCACTGATTGCACCGCACCCAATCAAAGCACCTCCTCACCAGGCATCACCTCCCATAGGCCCTTAGCCGCCGCTTTTGCTGCCAGTCGGGGATCCAGGCAGGGCTGAACCCGCCCGGCGCAGCGAATAGGCGAATAGCTTCAAGGCGCTCTCCTATTTGCGGTGCCGACGCCGACTGCCACTTCACCATGCGTTTCCTTTCTTCGCGGGCCAAAGATCCAGCTCGCCAGCTCGCACTCGCCACGCATTCGAACACGAATTCTTCCTGCTGCAGTTCAATTGCTTCTCAACAAAGCACAGAGACAATGTCTCCGAGTCCACTTTAACCATCTGCGAGCCACCATGGCATTGGAAGACGCGGCTACGGCTGATGCTGCTGCATCAAGCCCCAAACCGCTACCACAGTTCCATCACTATCACCCCAAATCCAAAACCCCGCATGATTTCCCTCCCTCCACCACCTCCTCCTCCACGAACCCACCACCATCCTCAAACCACGCTCGTTCAACTCAAAACTACTCCTCGCGTCGATACTCCCTCCCGCTGCACTTCCTCCCATCGGCGTTGTGGAGTGCCAATACCTCGACCGCGAGCTTGGTGGTGGAATCGGACGAGGCAGCTCGTGGTGAACACATCCTCGACGAGGCAACCGTTGCCCATCGGATATCGGCCCTACGCCAGCTCAATGGTGCAACACGATCTGGTCATCGATATGCAAAGTCAACTGGTGCAAGAAACAGTACCTTTAGCCAACCGGTAATTGTTCGAACCTACTCAGGATCCAGGCCACACTCCCAACAAAAAAGCATCACTGCCCCGAGGAGAGAAAATGAGCGCTTGGCAATGTCGACCCCCAAGATGGATTTGAAGCTTCCTCCCATTGAGGCATTTAGCTTCAAAGGAATCATGGACGATATTCGAAATGGCGTGTCGGACGACCTAGAACGAATTGCGGAGATTTGCGCGAGAAGTAAATACAGTTTGAGCAATCAGTACGAGGTACATATGCCACCTCATGGTCGAGGAGAGGCCTTTCTCCCCGCTGGAAATGGTTCGGGACCAAACGCAAACGGTGGTGGCGGTGGTCCCACCCTTCAAGCCGTTGGATCAGATGATGATCACTCACGAAGTGTTGGTCGAAGCTCACGAGGTGGACGACGTACCAAGTCCGTGGCTTATGGTACCTTGGAAACAATCATGTCTTCGTCACGGTCATCGGATGAAGACAAATCCAAGAAGAAAGCTGCTGCGGTGATCGCTGAGGAAGTTCGTGGTCGTGCAGCAAAGAAAGAGCTTTTAGCAGAGATCTTGCATCAGCCTGTGCCAGATCCTCCCATTGAGGCAGGTCCCTCAGGCGAACGACCCTCAAAACACTCAAGGTCTAAGTCGGCCACTTTTGCATCAGTCATCATCGACAATGCTCAGGGTCCTAAAAACGAAAGCGCTGCACCATTAGCGTCAGCAACATCCTTAATAAGCGAGCCTGCACGTCCCCAGACTTCAATGTCTATAGACCTGAGAAGTGCCCCATCATTTAGCGACCCTGGGTCTCCAAAACCCTCAAGCATTCATAAACGAATGTCTACGGGGCCAAACTCGATTAAAAACGAGTCCTGGGCGGCGACACTGAGACGTGGAGCTGTTAGCAAGCCATCGATACTGGGAAACTTGAGCTCATGGTTGCCATGGAGTAAAACTCAACCTAGTGGTTTTCAAGGGAGACAGAGAAGTGGTTCACATGCTGAGGGCAGCTTGAGGGATTTATTGAAATCTACGGAAACGGATAAAAAAGGTAAAGGCGTTGATCGAACGGGGTGATTTTAAATGGTATTTGCAAACTTTATTTTTGCCAAATCGTTCACATCGGAAGCAGAACTGGCAGCATCAAGAAAACGCGTCCTGCGTGGTAGTGGCAGTATTCAAAGACTGGTGAGAAAAGGAGAATAGAGGACTGGCAAAAGTTGCAGCACTGCACGTCCTGTCTCGGGAACTGGGACGATTGGATGAAGGGGTACCAATCTACCTAGGTACTCCATGAACGGTTGCGGATCCGTTCTATATATATTTATATATCTCACGACTGATGACGAGCTCAAAAAAAGAGGGCAAAACAGATTACCTCTGTGTTATGATAGATACACTTGAGCATGAATTAACGAAAATGGGGAAATTGAATAGGAATATTATTGTTAATGATCTATATCACCCCCTCGGTGTTTTATGTGAGAGAGGTTATTAACTTGAGATTGATTAGCGGTCGGGTATGCGTGACTAGTGCTGTGTACATGTAATGCGTCTGTTCTCTCCATGTATCTACAGGTCAACAGCTAGGTACAAAGTATTATCAAGAACTTACTGTAATTAGACCCCTCCCTAGACCCTCTGTGGTGTCCTGAGGTATGGAAGTTAGGTAACACGCTAGGTATCGTACCATGGTGAGACCATGGTCAAGTATCTAACAAGAAGGGAAGAACCCCTAACGCTCGCTAATCCCACCAATCATCCACATCTTAATCGCAAACGTCCCAAAACGTCAAGAAAGAACGATAACTGACCCAAAAAGTTGCAAAAAAATCCAAACGCCTTAAGGAGGCGTCGCCAGGGAGCGTAAACCAGATATCTGAGTTTTTCTATTAGGCTATTATTCCTAAGCTCTTCTGTTTTTAGCTAACGGGCACTAGTTTTTAGTATATACGGCCGTTGCCTTAGTAGTAATATAGCGAGAGATATTACTACTAAGCTAGATAGACGTGTTCCGTGGAAGCGTACAAATGATTGAGGGGTGGTTGTTTACAGGGGGGTTTGAAAAATGGGGAGGATGGGGGGGTGTTTTTTGTG